TTACTTTATTAAAATTATCTTTTGTCCCACAAATGTACCTAATGCTGATTGAAGGACTTTGGAAGTCTGTCATTGGTTGATTTCAAAGAGCTGTGTTAAGTGTGAGTCATTAATTACCATAAAGGGATGAATTCTAATTTCAAATCAATTGGAGTTCAAATTATGAGCCAAGGAGAGTTCAAAACTGAAGAAAATAACTAGTCAGAATTCTTGTTCTCATGCTTTGAATTAAATTAATATCTCTGTACCAATAATGCCGGAAAGGTAGAAAGAATTGTAACAGTTTAATTTTGATGTAATAATAATGAAAGGCAGTTTCAAAATACATAAGGAGCTTTCAGAAGTATTTAATACCTACAATACATCTGAAATTATTTCTTAAATAATTATTTTAACCAAATTTGCATGCCTTTAGTAAAGAAATTCCAAACAAGATTTAACATTTTCTTGCAGATATCTATAACAGATAACAAACATTCTCTAGCTAAATTCAACTGATTTTTCCTACAATAAGGTTTTCTTGAAAGGTAGTATATAAAGTCCCTCAATTTGACTGGGATTCTTTCTCTGTCAGCTTTAACACTTTCAAGTTTCAGCATTTGCCAGAAGGTTCCAGAATTAAAATTTTGAAGTTCCCACTGAAAAAAAAAAAAAAAAAAAAAAAAAAGGCAAAACTGTTAATTACTCTCATAGCAGTGAAAGTGCCAGCACAAGTAGAGCTAAATTCTACTGAACTGAAAAACATCACTTATACTGCACCAAGTAATAAAAGACCATGACAAAACAAAATGTTATAGCAAAGCATTGTTGGTGGTAGCAGTGTTGTTCTGGAATGCAAGTAATTCATTGAGGTGAATAGTCATATTGACCTGGAACTAATTATGACTGTAAAGTTACAACTCTAAGTGTTTAGCCAAAGTGTACAATGATGAAAAGAATTTAAATATGAACCAGCACCACTAATAGGATCCATGTCACATACCTCAGTCATATGAAAATAAGGTGTCTTGTCCATGATAATTTTTCAGACTTCCTTTCCTTCCTAGCCTATGGAAAAGGATGTGCATCTTTGGAAATTTATTCATATAACCCTAAAAAATATGTCAGAGGAAAGCCAGAGACTTGCCTTCAGAAGGTCACAATATGTCTTTCTGCATTGGCTTTTGAGGGAGTCTAGAAACCGCCAGGGATTCAACACCTGGCTTTCAGGTACATTTAGCTAGATAGAATAATCTGAATTTAAACTGTGATTAAATGAAATTACATACTGTCAGCAAAATTCTTCAATATTAATTGCATGTTTCTTCCCTGAGCTTAACCTGCTGAGTAACTATTCACTTTATTTCCCCTCCTTCCTCTTTCCTCCTTCAACAGACATTTAGCATTTTTCTACTAGATTATGTAAGAGGAACAGTTGGCTCAGTCTCCCTCCAGAAAAAGGTAGAACTTCACAGCCTGTATCTATCTGAGATATACTCTGTATTCATAAAGGGTCTTTACAGTTTAAATTCAAGATCCTGTCCCTTTTACTTCCAGCACAATAGATGATATATCTTATATCATAAATTAATTATTGTTTATAGTTATATATTAGTTACAAATTATATATTGCATACTGTAAAACATATGCTAGCAAGAGAAGTATGCTGTGAGCTTAGTTTTAATATAAATTTTGTTCTAAGTCTGCCAAGAAATGAAAAGTTGGACAGAGGACAGCTAATCCAGTCTGAATGTGTCGAATCCAAGACTATTCTAAAAAACATTAATCATCCTATACCCTTGCTGGACATTTGTAAATAAAAAACATAAATCTAAATTACATCAAAATATCAAACTCAAACTTTGTTGTGAAAATCTGAATTCTCTCAGCTTCACTCTTGAAACAAAAATATGCAAAGCCTCTGGAAATGGTTAACTTTCTTTGCATGTGTGTGAGATAAATGGCATATTTCTCTCTACTTGCTACCCTCTGAATTGCTTTATTTCCTTCATTTCTTGTGTGTTTTGTTCTACTAGGGAAAGAATCTGCTATTGTCAAAGTTGTGGGGTGAGCTAAAAGCATGGATTTCATCAGTAGTAACTTTCACTTTAACATTAGCTGGTACGCTGTTGTTAAGCATTTTAGGACACATCGCTACTGCTAGAAATACTTTTCTAAACTGTAGGAAATACAACAGAAATGAATCAGAAGATCTATGCACCAGGAGACAACTTTCCAGACCTGTGTCACTTGCATCAGACCAGAAGTGGATCTCACAGTATTTGTTTGTATACAAAATTTAATTTTGCAAATACAACTAAAATGCCCTCTACACAGTCCCAAATTGATTTTTCTAAACTTTGTATGTTAAAGAGTTTTGCAACATGGGCCTGTTAGCTTAGGCATGACTAGAGAATTTCACCTTTGGACACTTACAATTTTTAATCCATTTTCATAATTTGCTATGAAGATGTTAAGAATTAAAGACCAGGATATGACACTGAGGTCTCTGATTCATCAGCAAAAATGGTTTGCCTTGGGGTTGTTGGAATAATTTCTTCTGCTCTCGATCTTGCTCTTCTTTGAGCATTTCCCTTGCCTGCCTGGGGGGACAGCTCTGATACCTGTGAAGCAGTTCTTGAACTGCTAGTTGGTAGACCAGTATATTAAAATAAATTGACACCAATTCTTGTTTATTTTACAGCTGTAGTCCCTGCAGCTGTAAAAGCTTGTGGCTGTAAAAGATACTGAGCCATCCCTAAGCAGCCAGTAGGGAAAGGGTAGCTGGATAGCCAGACTGGAAATCAAGTCAGCTGTCTGAAGTTAAACCATCCCTGCTTGTGAGTCAAAACCTCAGTTATGCTGATACCGCTCTGGCCATGTCCATTCTGCTAGTCTGCTCGCACTCCTTAGCGCCTCTAGATTAGAATAAAGTGCACATGACATTAGGGATGAGGTTGCAGATTTACTTTTTAATAGCCTAGATATAGGTATTCATTCTCCTGGTAAACACTTCAGAAGAGCATTTGTGCAAAATCAGTTGAAAAAATAAAATCTTTACATCTCAGTGCATGAGGCCAATGCAAATAAATAACTGCCTTATGATAAGCAAAGTAAATATTCCCTGTTATACTACCCAATCTTTCTGAACACAGTAGTGCACACACAGAGTAATACACTAAGTGAAGCGATCATGCATATTTCTTTGCAATTTTGTCATTTCATCATGACACACGATTAATGTATTTGATGTGCCTGGTTGTTCAGTAGCATATATCTATGTAATACAACCTTCAAAAAAAACATTAACCAAAATATTTATTAGGTCTACATTATTAATAAGTAGATGCAAAATAATAGAAAATCAGGCTGGTCTTTTCTGTTTCAGATTAATTAATTAGAAATAGAAGGAATTATTTAGTGATACATTTATTTTTCAAATAAAGCTACCTGTATATTTCATTACAGCACTTTTAGAAAATAACTGTTCATACTGCTGTCATCAAAGAAGTTGCTTCAAACCTGCACTTTGCCTGTCTGTAACCTGCAAGTCCATGTGAGACTACTTCTGATTACTGCTAAGGTCTGGCTTGTGAGTCAGAACATTGCAACCAGAAGTAGTTCTGAAGAGACTTGTGCTTAATTTCCTACTAAAATATTTGTGTACAGAAAAATAGTGGTAAACAGAGATATGGTTCCCATCTTGATAGTCTTAAATTCAGTGTATATATTTTCTATTGGAACTCCTAGGAACAAGACTAGGCCAACAACTCAAATTATATTTGTGATCTACATTCAATTGTCTACATTTGTGGGAAACCTTCATACGGATAAGGCAATCATTCAGTCCGCCATTTCAAATGTAGTGAACAGCAACGTAGAGTGAATAGGAGTTGTCCCTCTTCCTAAGTAGAGTTTGGTATGGATTTCAAGAAAATAAAAGTTTGCTGGACAGGAAGGTTAGAAGAAATACTCTGTCAGAGGATGGAAAGTTCCCTTGAAATACTATGCCAGCATAAACAGGGTAGGGAGAAATCTGGTGAAATCACAATTTGAAATGCCCTTAGGGGAATACTTGTATTGCCCATTGATGGTTCCTTTCCCATCGGTGGAGTTCATCATCCCCTCCAGATACAATGAGGAGCAGGGACCTCACGTTCATTAGATGTCCCAGGAAGGTGGAGCACATTAAACTACACAGCTTCCTTGTTTGCCAGCTTAATTGCCTACAGGAGCAGTAAGAACAGAACTAGTCAAGTATGTAAATGTTCACAAGTGTTTGTGAAAGAAACTCTAGAAAATTTGTAAGAGAAGAACCAGATACACAGGAGTACGTGTTTGAAAGTAGCTGCCTCTGTGTCACAATTTGAATTTGCATTCCCCTACAATCTAGACTCAGGTTTATTTTGGCCCGAGTATACATAGCTTTCTTGTTCCCATCTTTTATATGTACTCCATGGCAATGATACAACCTGTCTGTGTGGTTAAGCCAGGGATCAGCAATTTCTCCATCCAGGACTTGTGCAAAGGAGGTGGCTCACAGGAAGATGTGACAGAAGGAGCAGGACACAGAAGGCACTGAATCTTAAACAGGCGTCAAGAGGCAGAGGATCTGAGCCAGAGGGGAAAAAAAAAAAAAAAAAAAAAAACAAAAAACAACTGGGCTGAAGGAAAGAGATTATCTACAAGGATGAATATTAGGTAGAATTAAATCTATATTTATACTTTGCCCACCAAGCCTCAGAAGAACAGCCAGAATTTAGAGGATAATATAAAATCAAATTATCCACTGGGTCCTTAATCTGTGAGCAGCAAATACAGTAGGATACAGATTATACGAGTCTTGCACAGGAAGGAGAGCTGTCCTCAAACCTTTGAATAATAAAAATTAACATTCACAGTCTTTGTTTCTGTTAAAGAAGGTATTATAATCAGTTCTGTATAAAATGAAGATTAACTTTAATCACTGAAGGACTTTTTTTTATTTTCAAATCACTTTTGTTTTAAACTCTGCACTCAGGAAGATCTGTTAACAAGCTCAGCACAGAGCCACTGAGAATCATTCATGAGACATTGGAAGAAACCACTGATTGGCTTTATGGCTTTATTTCTTTACTGTCTGACATCGTATGGAGTGATGATGATGACAGTGATGAAGGTATTTGTAATGTAAAGACTTCTGTAACTGCTGTAACTGCTGTTTTACATGCATTATGTTGGCTTACTCAGCTTTTAACCTCACAGACAAGAAGGTCAAACAAAATGAAAAGTGAACACTGTTGCTACTAAAGCATCTACCGGCTACTCCAATCAGTAAATTGGTCTCTTTGTTAGCTTTCATCTCATGCTTAATGTACCATTACAGAAAAGCTGTCAGAATTAAATATTACGATTAGTACATCTTGAAGTAAAGAGCACTAATTTATACAAGACTTCAAAGCCACAACCAAAACGTGCATCAGGATATTGCTTCAGAGAATGGTAATAGCTATTCTCTTTTAATCAGCAAGAATCTAAAGAACCCTGGTAAATATACAGATAGACCAAGAAACTTAAAACTTTTTAATTTTAAATATTGCTGATAAGACAATATATTGAAATTAAATGAAAACAAAACAAACCAACCAACCAACCAACCAACCAAGCAAACAAAAAAAAAAACCAAACAAACAAACAAAAAAACAAAAAAACAAAAAAAAAAAAAAAAACAAACAAACAAAAAAAAAAAGAAAAAAAACAAGAAAGAAAATATAGCATTTTGGCTAAACTAGGGGGATATTCAGTGACATATTGCAGATAATTCTGTTTTCTAGAAATTATGGTTCTGCCATTATAGTAACATTCTTCATCTGATACTATCTGATAAATGAAAATAAACTGCTAACATTTCAAGTTTGGAAATAACTATCCTGTTGTAAAAAAAGTAGTTCTCTGGTATGCGCAGAACAGTAGTGGATCATCATGTCACATCATATTGGTCATTTTGACAAGCAATGAGTGTGGGAGCGACATCTTAATTTCACAGAAGTTTATTTTATATTCCATTTGGCTATACCAGAACATAATTAAAAAGCAACATGTACTAAAACTGACTTCTACCTGTTTGTTCATAAACCTGAGATATTATCAAGTGTGTACCTTTTAAATGTGTGCATGAGTTTTTTATATTAGCATCATGTATGAATACTAATAGGTAGGCTGCTACATGTGAGTCTGTGAACTGGGCATCCTATTCTGAGATATGATTTACAACTAGAAGAAAGCCAGTCTCTCATATGGTTGAGAAACAGAAAAGGTGAAATATGGAGAGCTTGCTAAAATTTGAACAGTGTTCATTTTTATCATTTCATAGCTCCCAAAGCACCTGCAAGCTTTCAAATACTCAATTGGGTAAGTGTTAATGCAAGTGGGAAAGGTCACAGAATACCTGACATACAAAAATTCAATGTCTGAATACCCACTAAGTGTTGGGAAACCTCAGTCCTACTAGCCTTTGGTCCAAGTGGAATTTCATCAATTTTGTACTAGGAGTGTGAAAAGGCAGTTGGCAACGTACTGTACTATTATATAAAAAGTAAGTGCATGTGAACTCCCTGCCCACTGTGTGCTTCAGTCAGTGCAGCTGAGGCTGCATATTTACCATAATCACTCATGTTAACTCCTTTAAATTCCATGTCCTACATGGAGGTGGGATACACTGCAGCAATCAGGTGCTCATAGTTCCACTGAAATATTTTTTGACTTGGATTTCACTGGAAGCATTGTTAGATTTACAATCTTGTTAACTTGCATATACATTTTATCATTTGGAACTAAAATGAAACTGCTGGGTCTTTCCTCAAAACATGAAAACATGCATAAAATCAAGCAAATTGTAAATTGTAGTCACAAGTTAACATTCAGAAGCATAAACACAGATTTGCACATTTCCTTGGTTACTACTACATATTGAATTTATCTACCCTAGACCCAGGAAAACCTCTATGGTAAGAGAAAGACTTTATGAAAAATCCAAAATCTCAGAATAGAGTGCTTGCCATTTAGCATATAAAGAATAGCATTATTATTTTATTAAATTAAAATGAGCCAACATGAGAAAAAATGTGATTTTTTTTGTAAATGATATTTCTTCTCTGATGTTTGTTCTTTTCTCTTGGTTTAGGTGAAGTGGAACCTTCCCTGAAAAAAGGTTGGTCAGTTGCCTTTCTATAGTGGCCAAATATTTTGCAACTGTTTTAAGAATTATCTAGTATATCTATGATATAGATTCTGCCATTAGTTACATGTAAGTCTATTAACCTTGTATGTTGTGCATTAACAAATAGTTCAGTAAATAAGAAACTCGAGTGATAATAGTTGGTGTACTGTTGGTTGCTTTGTGAGTATTCTTAGATTTCATTATAATCCAGAAAATCTGAAAAATGTTCATAAAAAAACAATAAAATTACAGAAATATTATCTGTACCCTTGCCCTGCATGTGGGACTTCTATTAATACCAATATGAGTTATGTGTATGCCTGGATAGAAATAATATTTAGAAATAATAATATAGAAAGAATATTTACTGAGAAATAATGGTGAGGTGTTATAAAAACATTTTGCCTTGTGCCAATCCAGAACCTTAAAATAAGGACTACTTCTGAATCTTCTGAAGAAAATGACTAAATCATCGATTTCTTAAAGCAGACAAGTGAAGCAAGTAGGATTTTTAATATAAATCTTTTCAGACATTAAAATTGTCATGCTGAAACATAAAACTTAGGTTCAACTTCTATTCAATCAAAATGAAAATGTATTAGAAGGCTTGACATATTGGTGATTGGATATAAACCTTTTCAAAACTAGGCTGTGTTTTTTTCTCCAAATTGAGCACAGCTTGATAATAACAAGATGTGTAACCAGCCCTATGTGATCTGAATTTGGTATCCATCAAATTCTCGGTAGGTAAATTCCTGTATTGAAGAATCTATCACCCCATTCACTCTATCGCTGAGACTACAATCCAGTTTTCTCTGAAGTTAATTGGAACTGGATCAGGCTTCTATTTAATGACATGTTTTGTCACTCTCAATAGGGCATCCAAAGAATTAATAGGCTTGAAGACAAAGACCATTCATTCATTTTTCTATGGACAATCCTTCATGTTAGGACTGAAGAAAACTTACAGACAGTGTAGGAAAACATTACACCTCTTTACTCTATCAGTGAGAATTGCAAAAGGTCCGTTATTTCCCTGTCTCTTCTCCTAAAGACAGAAATTTATTATTAATTTTACAGTTGGTGCAGAGTCTAAATCTGTGACATGTCGATGGCAGGGCTGCCAGGTGTGCGGGTGGAAGGTGTCTACTCACCATGGTCCAGTTCTAGCTGACCAGGCTGGGAATACTGTGGAGATACTTCACTGCTGGGAAGGCTTGATCCATAAAAACATTATGGACAACAATGAATTATTCCTTGGAAATCAGTGACGTGATCATGTCTCTTACATTTTGCACTGGGACACTAGGCTGTAGAAATAGAATTCAGAGAAGCCATAACAATAAGCTGGAAGCTGCTTAAATTAGTCCACTGGAAGTGATGAGATGATTGTTTGGACCTAAGAGTCCTCCATCCAAGAAGCTGACAATCTAACTGCCAGACTGAAATCTTTTCCTCAGTATTCAAAGCTCACAACCCTACTCTGGAGATAAATGCCTGAAAAAGTCTTCTATTTTGGGCATGAAGGAAATTGACAAGGAGCTGGTGATTCCTCTGGAGCTGGTATCTTACAAGATAACTTAACCACAGAGACGTGAAAAGGCTCAAATTCAAACATGCTTCATCAGCCTGGGCTGTAAATCAGATTTTGAGTGAGCTTTTCCACCTCCTGGATCAAGGTCTTTCCCCCCATCTTTCAGAGGATAAGGAGTCCCATCATTATCTCCCCGCAAAAAGCTGTTTCTTAACTAAGATTGATCAGGAAAGTCATCTCAGGCCCTTTCTGGATATAGCTGTAAGCTTTCACATAGCAACATCCTCAGATAACTTGTTACCATCTCCAGATGACTGGAGGTCTCCATTTCATCCTAGCAGCTAGAATCTAGCCTTGATTATACTTGATTTTGTAACCTCTTTTTCTGGGCTACAGAAATACAACATATGTGGCCTGAAGCCACCAGTCCATTAGAAATGTCAATGCAAACTATTGGACGTGTCTGCTCAGTGACAGGCAGCTGTGAGCTCCTCAGAGCTGTTACTGTCTTTCTTTGCAGACTTCTGTTAAAACCAAGCTGAATTGCCAGGGTCTAAGCCTACAAAGAAGTTTTCTGAGAGCTCTGTGATAAAGTGTAGTCAATAGCTTTTCTGCTTAGGCACAGTGAAATTCACTCCCAGGGCTAAAGCTCATGAGTGCAGAAGGGAAAGCCTCGGGAGGTGAGGCATGGGCTCAGACGAGCTCTTGCAGGTAGCACTCTCACAGACATCACGATCTGTTCATCTGAGCACAGGATGCAGAAATCTTTGAGTAGCTTTTCCTAACTAATGTGTCCTGTCATGTCTATGGTCCAGAAATAAGAGTTCCGGAAAAAAAAAAATTCTAAAACAAAACAAGAAATTGCATCCATGATTTTTCTCATGTGACTGCTGTTAGGGCTGGACCCAAAGGAGGACCAGCTATACAAATTAATTTGGAAACGTTTTGGGTATCAAAATGTTAGTAGGTAGATCTACAAATTCTGAACCAAATTTTTAGGTTATGAAATATTCTCTGTTTTCTTATGAAGGACCATTTCTGCATCAAAGTCCCTTCCGCTCTGCACAGCACTATTATCTATAGCTTTGTGAGTGATCTTCCTTTAGGTGTCTCTCATGCTTATGGCATTTGAACATCCTAAACAAAAATATGACCCAGTGATATGGTGCAGTATACTACTGCTGTCTTTACAAGAAGTTTACAGGAAACCTCTCAAATTTCACTGTGGAAATGTGCATTATGGTTGCTCTGCCTGATTTTTAAGTATTTGTATTGGATCTAATCCATAGTAACTGTGGTATTCATGATTAGGCTGAGAATTTTTGAAAAATCTCCATACTTATTTTTGGTGTACGGACAAGCTTTTACTCTTTTGCTTTGTTGACCATCAGATTTCTTGAATGCTAAAATGTTAACACAAAATTTACTTTATAATGGAATATAGTTACTGAAAAAATAAGAATATTGTTGGTACCACAATTAGAAAAGATTCAGGGGGAGTGGTAAGGACACTGTGTAGATGAAAGAAGAAGAGGAAAGTGTAATGATAATTACAAACCGAAAGAAAGCAAAGATCACCTTCCTGGAGACATAAATTAAAAGCAAAGATAATAAAAGTAGAAGTAATGACAATAGGCTTGCACATGCAACAGAACTAATATTAGTTTCAGAATACTTTAGAAAACATGAAAATGCCTCTTGAGTGCCTTTTTTATTGCAATTATTTTTGCCAGTCCAAGTCGTATCACTAATATTTCTCTTTAATAATTTGAAAAGAGCGAACATTTGATATTGTCTGGAATAAAAAAAAAAAAAAAATGTTCTTCAGGGGATGTAGTGAAAGATTATTCTGTAGAGGACCTCACAGTCTTTAACAATGCACATTCTTAGCATGCAAAAATTGCAGAGCATTTTCACAAAAGATATTGAGAAGTCTAATAGCTGCTTCTTGCACATTTAATGTGCTTTTGGCTTAATTTCTTTCTACAACAATGGTTATGACTGATAATCTTGTTAATTTTTTCAGAGTCAGTTTAACCTTTAGAGACAAATTCAATTACTTGACAGCTGCATGTTTTCTCATATTTTGGTCATTTTTACTAGAAATTATTGCTACAGGAAAAGAGAGAAATATTTACTACTTTTTGGTGGATGTTACTGACATCAGCTGTGAGTTTGGAAAAGAGTTGAGAAACATGGTGCACAAAACTGGAAATAATGAACTGTAAAATATAAGTCCGGACACTTCAGCATTGTCATCCATGGCTAAAAATATCATTATTAAACTGTTCTGGAACTTCACTTCAGTTTGCATATGGGTAACTGAAAATTTAAATTCTGAACATGGACTCCTCATTTAGCTAGACAGGGTACACCTGTCAAACCGTGCACACATAGCCGTGGGTTTTGTGTGTTATGGTAGCATCTTCTTCTTCTGCTTCAAAACAGCCAATGCATTCTAGATGGGAAACAGGAATCTGGTACGTGGTTTTAGGAGTAAATTGCTGGAAACCTTTGAAAAGATTCTTAGGTCAGAATTATTTGTGGTTTTACTTCATACTTTGGAGTTTAGGAAATTGTTTTCATAACCTTGATTTCCTGATTTCCTTCCCTGATTTTATGTTTGGGCTTAGGTTAAATCCTTTGTCTTCCTCTTTCTCTCGCTCTCTTGCAGTCTGTTTCAAACACATACATATCACTTGGTAATTTTCAATTCAATAGATACAATGAACTTTGAAAGCAGAGTAAGAAATAAAGCACCATCATGTCATTGTTAACAATTTTTGTATTACAAGATAGATTTTTATTGGCATAAAATTATTTTATACCAACAGTCAAAATAAAGTTGATTCCTTGAGGTAGAGATGGATCTCCCAATTTCTGTGAGTTAGCCTATGTGGGAGATAGAAAGATGTATACAATTGTTATATGAAATGATCCTATTCTCTTTACTTGGATATAAAATTCTTTCTTTAGAAAATGCAGTTAAAGAATCATAGATAAAAACAAGAATCCACAAACAACAGAAATTTCTGTTAAATTTTACAAGAAATATTGTTAATTACAAATAAACCTTTTGCCAAAGTACCTTATCCTTGTGTCTTCAGTTCAAATGAGAATATTGTTGCCTGAGTATTAGGCTGGCTATTAATATGCTGAAGACACAAACGTCATGCTCTTCTTATAAGACAGGGCAACTTCTGAGGGCACACTGACTTACCCTCAGCGGCTCTGGTCAAGGTGCAGTTCTGCCAGACCTGACTCCAGACACTCACTCCCTTTAACCCCCTCTCCACCCCAAGGTTAAGATAGTCAGCATTTTTTCAGCACAAACTGCTCAGATCCAGGTATTAATCTGTGCTAGCAACAAACAAAATACTCTCAAAAGAAAAGGTTCTCAGACCAAATCATTTCCTACATCCCTTTTTAAGAGTAATCAAGCAAACACCTACGACAG